AGAGATTCCCCTTACATAGAAACATTCATGTGAAAGAACAAAGTTTGTTAAAATCTGATTATCAGGTAAGCCAAACAACTCCTCAAACTCAGTCAGGTATAGAAGATGATAATAAAATCATTGTAGGCGACTCTATTTCACCTTCTGTTGTATCACAGTTTAGTAGGGATGAGTATAAAAATTGTGAATTTCCTCAAGACCAGTCTTCCAAAGAGCCTGAAAGAACATTATTTAAAAGTGCACTAAAATTCTTTGGTCAAGGAGAAGTATCTTCAGGAAGTATGACGCCAAATGAAAAACAGTCATCTACATTTTTCAGCCTCTTTAAAACCCAAGTGAATAAAGAAGAGTCATCAAACTTGGAGAACAGTGATAAAAGTGAAAAAACATCATTTCAAGAAAAGAAAGAATCTTCTGGTGTTTCAAATTTTTTTGGTACTATTGGTGATTTCTTTAAAACTAGTGTATCTCCCGTTCAGACAACTGAAAATATATCTGTTTCTTCGGTGACTGATAAAGATGAGGTCAGATCAAGTTCTAATCCTGTAGAGGTAACTAGTCAGGTTATTGGGAACTGTCCTCCTAAGCCAATTTCCTCTAAAGGAAAGGCTAGAGTTAGAAGCCTGAATAAACAGACTACTATTGATGACAGTGGTCTAAGGGAACCACCAACTAGCAAGATCCAAAGTGATAATTTGAATGAAAAAGAGAAACTTTTCAGAGGCCACCTAATTCAGGAGTCAGCAAATCTTTGTTTCTCAAGTAGTCTCAAAGAATCTCCCAGTGATTCTTCAAAAGAAAATAGTGGAACTACAGTGAAAGAAGCTCCGAGTAACAGAGTATCTTTTGACATTCTAAACAGAAGGCAAAATGAACAAGATCATTTTCCTAACCAAGACAAGAGTTTTTCAACAGCTACAACATCTTCATCTCAACCAGAGCTGCCAACCAGAAAGAATATATTCTCTTTTTTGACTAGATCTGAAAATTCTAAGAACAGAGCTTCTGCTGCTCTACCCAAATCCAAATCTCAAGCAGAAGGGTTATTCACACTTTCTTCTTTTTTCCCCACTACTAGCTCAGGCATCAAGAAGGATACTTCTCGTAGTAGCTCTACTTTTAGTTTCTTCGGCTTGGCCTTCCTAGATGAAAAACAACAGACTCCTGGGGAAAAACAGAGCCTTTTAACTGTTGCTCCAGTGACTTCTCAGCCCTGCAAAAAACCAAGTGTTTCTGTAGACACTAGTGAAACAATCAGTCTGAAAGATTCTAGTGGTCATAGAGATAGCATAGCCCAAGAAGTGATTCATGAACAGCAAGTGATCCCTTGTATTTCCATTAACAACACCAGCGAGGTTACCTCCCTTGTAGATGAGCTCAGTGTAGAGAAAATTCAGGGAAATCTTTGTTCCAGTAATGAGCCAGAGACATCTTCAGATTTTCAGATAAATCAGTTGCAAAAAGATGTTCCTCCTTCACCAGAATTTCAGGAGCACACTGAAACATTCCTTGTTGAAGAAGTGGAAGCCCCCCATAAAGAAGCTTTCAACCAGAAAACCTCTTCCAGTGATTCGTTGGTAAACTCTTTTTCTCATGATGATCATTTGAACAAAGAGCTCAGTGGCCACAATGAAAGACTTACCACTGACTCCTTGAGCTTGCCATTAGGAGAGACCCCTGATAAGATCACACCAAGGGTTCTAGAGTCTACTTCTGCTTCTCTAGACCCAGGGGGTGGAGGGCCTCTCCAGAATGAAGATGCAGGCAAAGAGGAAGACAAAACAGTATTAGGCTCTAAAGTAGAAATGCTTTCAGGATTTGTGACCAAAGTAAAATCTTTCTCTGAATGTCTACCTGAACCTCCTAAAACTTTCTCTGGACTTTTCTCCTCTCCAAAATCTCCAAAGAAAAACTCCTTTTTTTCCCTTTCTTCTGGGGCATCACCTCAGCCTCTCAAAAGTGAGTTGTTTAGAATTTTTAGAAACCCCAAGCCAGAAACATGTAAAGAACCATCTGTAGCAAATTCATGCCTTCAAAGTAGTTGTTCCAGAGATTCTGTAGAATTGGTACCCCCAGAACGTTTATGCAGAGAAGCTGCCTCTTCAGCACTCAATTCTGACTCTCCTGACAGTGATTATAGAATGAATGTGATTAGTATAACATCAGAATCAGATACCTTGATAGATGATCTCCAAATGACCATTGAAAATGAAAAACATAATATTCCTGAAAATATTCCAGGACCCCAAGGTTTTGACACAGTAGCTACCTCTTCTGTCTCTGAAGATGATATGAGGCAAGGAAGGCTATCTCTGAGTGATGAAGGAGACATGGGGTTGTTGCAGGGCACAGACACAGAGGCATCATTGGAAGCAGAGCATAGTCTACTGCCAACACAATTGCATCCACATTCTCCTGGGATTGCTGAAGAGCTTCTTCCTGCACTTCAACCACCACTTCCTCTTGATCCAGAGCCAGCTATTCAAACTGACTCCATAAATAAAGACTTATTGGAACTGAATGTAACCAGTTCACTAGAAATCAATACCACACTGTGTACTGAGGCAAGTGTCAGCAAGAGTACCACATTAGAAACCCAAGAGTATATTGCCCACCATTTGCCAAAGCCACCTGTGCTTTGCACCAAGGACAGTTGTGGGGCAGTTCATGCCCAGAAAGATCCACCTGCAATCCCTCAGGAAACAGATCAGCCAAGATCTCATTTTGAAATCCCAAACATGACCAGTTGGCCAAAATTGCCCTTCTCATCCTCTTCTACTGACTATGGGAAGACATTGAGCTCTTTCTTTTCTCCACCTTCCTCCTCTGGCAACAAAACAGCAGAGACTAGTTTAATGTCCAGTTTTAAAAAGTTATCAACTCTATTTGAGGGAGGTAGTGAAGGGAAAGGGAGTAAACTGGCAAGTGATATAAAGGTAGGATTTGGAAAGAAACCAGATCTTTCATTTCCCTGGCCAAATGAGAACAAAGGGAACCCTGAACAGATTTCTACAGAATCTTCCCCTCCAGTTTTGGTTAGCACCAGCAGCCAGGACCTGAACTCCAGCGATAGTGACAAAGCTTTGAAGTCTGCTCAAATATCTGGGGCAAGAGCTGAGCCAACTGAGGTCAATACTCAGCCTTCTGTGGCCTCTGAACAGTTGGAAGCTAGGCCAAGTACCTTAACTCATTGGCTTCCAGAGCCTGGAGAAATGGGAAACCAAGTGGAAATCCTGGCATCTGGAGAAGGTTGCGATACAGAAGGCAACCTCTCTAGTTCCACCTGTCCTTCAGGAAAACCTGAGGAAGAACACAGCACTGTCTCTGAACTACTTCACCTGCCAGAAGAACAAGTAGAGGAGGTGGTGTTGGCTAATGCTGACTCTCTTTCACATGTACAGCAGCCAGTTGCTCTGAGTGACATCAAGGACCCAGTGACCAACAAAAGGCCTGTTTTCAACTCAAGCATCATAAATGGTTTTAAGAAATTTGCCATTTATGATGTAAATGACTTAGTGGTAGATTATCTTAGTTGCTCTTTATCCAATTATATCTTTCCTAGCACTTGGCATTCATGTTAAATAGGGGTTAAGTAACAACTAATTCATGGGTGGGTATTTTCATCCTCTCCTTTCAGTTCTTATTGGAACAAGGAGTGTCCTGCTTAAAGGAAAAGCTAGGCCTTGTGATCTCATGCCGATGTGCTTTTCCTTATATAATGTGGAATAGAGAATGCAAAACAGAAAGAGGCAGCAAATATTTATGTGGCATGTGTTTATTATTACTATATAATTGGATATGATGTTTCCTTGGGTCTTAGACACTTATAACTTATAAGTGGTTTCCCATATAGATGGGAAAAAAACGTACTTTGCTTTGGTTTTTCAAGCCTTCTAAGGTGCTTCTTCCAGTGGCAATAAGAGAATTACATAAAATACAAAATGTAAAAGATAACTTACAATAATCTATATTTTATGTCCTATTCCATATGAATTTATATAACTTCTGTGGTATTGGTCTTTAATCCCATTGTATCACAATGTAGTTCTTCAGGTGGAAGAACTACAACAAAGGACAGCTCTGAGTTTCTGTGTGACATTACTCAAAGCATTTATCAGATACCAGCCTTAAGGGTAGTAAAAAGTAGGGACTGATGTCTGGTAAGTGCTTTGAGTAAAGTCTCACAGGAGCTCAGAATTACCCTTTGCTATTGTTCTTCAATCTAGAGCATTATGCAGGATCCATCTGCAGAAGTATTATTCTCCCTAAGAACAAACATCATACAGTATAAAGAATGTTAGTTTTATCTCTGTCTCTGTTACATTGATCTCTGTCTCAGACCAATCTCTTAGAATTGGTCAGAAGCTGAGAGAGACAGACAGACAGACAGACAGACAGACAGACAGACAGACAGACAGACACACACGTGACTTGGTACCTAGTCAACTGACATGTGATAGTTTCCATTACTTCTTCCCACAGATGACTGATACATAAAAGAACATCCCATTCTCCTTCACTTGTGCTGAGATATAGATATATACATTTACAGTTGTAGAGCAATAAATGAAAACCTGTTTATTAACTAATAGCAAAGGAGAGTAGTGTTCATTTATTCCACTTTACTATGTGGAAATTGGAAAACTAACCATAGCCACTGGATAAGTTTTTTTAGAAGACTAAGTAGAGAATTTCAGGAATAAGCAATAGGCCATTTTAGTATTTCTTAATCCTGCAGACAAGTCAGGTGCAAGTAAAGGCTGAGGTTAAGTGCTGTTAGAGGAACACACAAAGTGCCTATTGTGTGTTTTCTTACTGTGTTTCTGCTAAATAGAAACTGATTTTTTTCTTGTTTGTGAAGTTTGGTCCTGTTTTTCCTAGGAACCTCTTGTTTGTGATTATTGCCCTGACAGAGTAATTGTTTCCTGGATTTATCCATGCTTGTGTCCTGGTCTCTGTTTTGCACTATTTATTCATCTGTCTTCCTCTCATTCTCACAGCCCCACCAGCAGTAGTAGGTATGGATCCTCCTGTAATGTGAGTCAAGGAAGCTCTCAGCTCAGCGAACTAGAGCATTATCAGGAACAAGATGATGACCGCCGTGAGCGAGACTCAATTCATTCCTGCCACAGCTCTGGAAGCCTCTCCAGAGATGGGAAGGCTGGTTTTGGAGAACAAGACAAAGCCTTGGAGGCAAGAGGTGAAGCAGCGAAGGGGAGAGCATGTGAACCCAAGGAGACTACAGAAGATGTCACAGCCTCTCCTCCCCCAGATCTGGTGCTACACAAGGACCATGTTGTAGCCCCCCAGGAGAGGTAGGTGGTACCTCATGTGCTTCCTCAGTGCCTGCTCTATAGTATTACTGAGTATAAGTGCTTTGCATTTGTTTCTCTGAAGCTGGGTATGGTAGGGGCCAAGAAAATCACACTCAGCTCTTCACTGCTTCCTTTGAATTTTGCTGTGATTTCCAGTGTATTTTAGGGAGCTCTGAAGAACACTTGGGTTCTTTGTAGTAAATGAACAGCAGAGTGCTGGGATCCTTTGAGCCTGCAGTTGTCTTTTTTTTTTGAGATAGGGTCTCATTATGTAGTTAGTTCTTTAGGCCAGCCTTGAGCTCTCTGCAGTATATAGCCCTGGCTGGCCTCCAGCTCTCAGCAATCCTCCTGTTTTGGCCTTCCAAATGGTGGAATGACAGGTGTGTGCTACTATACCTGGCTTGAATCTTAAGTATTTTGACCCTATACATGGCATTCTCTCTGTGTGAAATGACTTGAGCCCTGCAGGGGATGCTTTTGGTCTTTTGGCTGGATTACTACCCCATTAGTGTTCTAACTTCTTTTGTGAACATGTTTTGTACCTGGGCTGAGAAATATTAGAATAGAGTTAAAGAATTGATTTACAAGATAGATTTAACCCATTCTTTTCCTCCAGAGCCCAGTGGTATATTTAACAGTTTCTATTCATAAGAAGACAAATTTGGGCTGGGCAGATGGCTCAGTAGAATAAGCACTTCCCTGGCAAGTGCAAGGGCCTGAGTTCAATGCCCGGTTCTGAAAAAAAATAATAAAAAATTTTAAAAAAGAAGACAAATTTAAAATTTGCTCTTCTAGCAATCTGATAATGAAGTTCAGTATGGAGTTTGAGATTTGTCACTGTTATTGAGCTAAATTGGGTAGAATAGAAGAGAGGTTGGTGCACCGCAGTTCTATCAGTATTTGCACTAATGTTTTGGGATTGATCTTATGGGAAGCTAGTATATAAATTATAAGGTGTTTAATAACATCCCAGGTCTCAATAATTGATGCCAGTAGCAACTCCAGAACTCTTTCCAGCTGGACATGATGGTACATGCCTGTATCCTACCATATGGGGGGCATAAGTTTGAGGCCAGCTTGGGCAGCATAGAGAGTTCCAGGCCAGCCCAAGATGCAGAGAGACCCTATCTCAAAAAGGAAAGTAAGGGCCAGCCAAATAGCTCAGCAGACTAAAGCACCTGCTTAGTCAGAGCGCAGTGGCTGGGGTTCAATTCCCAGGGTACTGTGCTGGCCCTCCTCCTGGGGCACGCTGAGATGGCAATTGAAACTGGGTGTGGTGGTACCTACCTGTAATCTCAGCTCTTGGGAGGCTGAACACAGGCAGATCACTATAAGTGCGATCTACATAGTGAGACCTTGTAGATCCTGTACTAAAATACAATGAAAAAAGAAAAGAAAAAGATGACTTTCTTCATTCAACATTGTCAGATTCTCCTTCTGGGGTAAGTTTGTCTCAGTTGAAAATCAATGGGGAAAAATGATAAGGGCTGGATATAACTTAATATTCTTAGATCACAAGGTCTGATAGATATTAAAGCCTCATAAAAGGATAGTGAGGGCCAGAAAAAATAGCTCAATGGATTAAAGTGCCTGCAAGCAGGTGCAGGGACTGGGGTTTGATCCCCGGGCCTGCCGTGCCAGCCCCACCCCCTGGGGCACATTGAGATGGCAGTTGAGACTGGGCATGGTGGCATATGCCTATAATTCCAGCTGTTTGGAGACTGAAAACAGGCAGATCACTATGAGAGTCCAATCTAGTAGTGAGACCCTGAACACCCTGTAGACCCTTCCCTAAAATACAAAAAAAAAAAAAAAAAAAAGGACAGTGAAAGCCAATTACATGGTAAAAGATAGGAAATAGTGCTTTTATTCTATCACTGGATTAGTAGATAAATCATGTATCTTTCGAAAGACATAAACTTCCTTTTTGTTCTCCCTCTGGGGTATATTAACAGGCAGAATATGCAGGAGACCTCATGCTGGTCCAGCCTCTCATGGGATTGATGACCCATTCACGGGCTGACTTGTTATGAGCTTTGGATAGTAGTGACCATTATGGCTGAGCTCATGTTAGAGAAGCAGAAGTGCTCAGAATAAATACTTGTCCTTTTTTACCTTCAGGTCCTAGCTGTGCATGTGAAGCCCAGCTTTCTCCTGGTCAGAGTGCCCACAAATGTTTTTAGACACTTCTATTGAGCCATTTGTTAGATAGTATCAGAGCCTAGCATTTATTTCCCCTGTATAAGTGGTCTGTTACTGTGGCTATTTGCTCCAAAGGGAGGAAAGAGGAGCATTATTGCTAAGAATTAAGCACTGATCCAGTTAAGAACCAGGATGATGACTTGCTCTAATATAAGGTAGTGTTTTTGCCCAAAGGTACTTGTTATATTCATTTTACAGAGGGTACCAGATCATGGAAAGAAGTCACTTTTATATAGTCTAGGAATTGGTAAGACTTTCAAAATACTTATTGGAGCAGGAATGGTTTGCAGGAACAAAGATCTGCCCGAAAGAAGCTATGTAAAACTCCCATGGTAGGCTGTTGGTCTTGTGAGGAACTTCTTCTATAGCCCTGTGTGGTTTCTATGCTTGTCATTGACACGTGCTATTGTCATTTTTTCTCTAGTGTCAGGATCCCAGTCTGTTCAGTGAGCTACTGCATTGGGCAAATCAGGGGAAGGGAGACTAGGAACAGATGAAAAGCTAAAAGGAGCTGTCACTTTAGAGAGGAATTGTTTGCACATTAGGTATTTAGGACTGTGCTGTTTTAGTGGCCTGAATCACTAAACATGTGTAGGCATGAGTAAAAACCATTTTATTTTAGATATTTGGCAATCTTGCCTTGAGAGTACTGTCACCTTATGGCCTGGACTATTTTTAAGAAACATTCTTTTCTTTGTTACAAGTCTTCCTGAGGAGAATGCATCGTCACCCTTTACTCATGCCAGAGCACACTGGATCCGAGCAGTCACCAAGGTTCGACTCCAGTTGCAGGAGGTAGGAAATCTGTTCCAACATGGTTGGGACAATTTTTCTTTTGAAATTGGGAGACATATGGTGCTCAAGAAGCAGTCAGTGCTTAGTCATCTTACTTGAGCTGGGAGTGTATAGCAGTTAAGCCAGAGCCTTAAGAGATGGAGGTGGCCTTGGTTCTTTGTATGCTGATTAGTGGAAATCAAGTAGACCTAATGGGCTGAGAGTTTGATGGTGCATTTATATGTTTATTTTCGATACCGTCATCTCTGTAAAGCCAGTTAAGTTTGAGTTTAGGGTCGAGGGCTCTACCAAGACCCCTTGGTCATTTGTCTGCTTTAGCCAGACAGTTCAAGTACTACTGAATGATAGATGGGACCAGAAACAGGTACAAAGATTTTTCTAGGATTCCCTAACTTAAGCCCCAAGGAATCAAACATTAAAAGCTAAAAAAAAAAAAAAAAATTATTTTAAAGTAAGGAGATAAATGTTTCATTTTCAGTGTTATGAACTTGACATGTCCTTATACATATACCAATAAGAGAGGCATCTGTAGGCAGAAGGGATGTTTATCAATGATGACATGTGGTTTTCAGTAACATAAAACCTGGCATATACTGAAAATGCAAGCCTGCTTACATGAGTAAACATGTCCTTTTAAAAATAATTTCAAACATAGGGAAAAGTTGAGAACTTCTGTGTCTCTTACTTCAGCAGTTGACACTTCACATTTGAATCGTTACCCTTCCTCCCTTAAAATCAGTCTTTTTCTGAACTACTTGAGAGAAAGTGGGATACTTGTATTTTGTCACTTCTAGCTAATGCTTTTGTTTGTGTTTCCCTAAAAATAATGCTGTTGTCCTAAATAATCATAATTGAACTATCCAAATCAGAAAAACAACAGTGAAAACACTATCATCTCATTCTTTTTTTTGTTTGTTTGTTTTGTTTTTTTTTAGTGTACTTATTCTTTTTAACTTTTTTTTTTTTTTTTGGCGGGACCGAGGTATCATCATTTCAGACAAATTGGACCAATGATTCCAACAATGTCTCTTTTTTCCCCTTTGATCTAGAACCGAATGATGTTGCATGTACTAGTTCTAGCTCTTTAATTTCTTTGACTCTGGAACAGTTCCTCAACAGTTTTCCATCCTCAACAGTTTTAAATGGTATAGGCCTTTTTATTTGGTAGTGTGTTTTTCAAATTTGGTCTGTTGAGTATTTCTTCAGGTTCACACTCAGGCTATGCTTTCTTGATAGGACTCACACAGAAACTGTACTGTGCTCCTTTCATTGCATTGCTGGAGGAAGTATGTGATGTCAGCCTGGCCTGCCGTTTGTAATGTTAGCCTTAATCATTTGGATGAGTTTGTACAGGTTTCACCACTGTCAAGGCACACAGTTTCCTTTGTAATTAGTAAGTGCTTTGTAGTGAAAACATGTGAGACTCTCAGTAACCTTGTGCTTTATCAGATCTCCACTAGGTTTCCATTGATATCCCTTGTCTGAAGCTACCACCTGTGGTTGCCAAATGGTAACTATGTCTTTTCTGTGTTGATTAGTTGGTGTTCTAAGCAGATTTTTCTTTTCTCCTATTATTTGTGGTAGTGAGGGCTCATGGATTCCTAATTATTACATGAGTTGTAATCCATTACTGTCATTTATTTTGATGTTCAAATTGTTCTAGCCTTGCTTCATATCTTTCATGTAGAAGGTAGTATTTTAATAGCTATTGAAAAGGTGACTGCTTTGGAGAAAGAATTCTCTCTCGCTCGCTCGCTTATTTTTAATGTTGAGACTGGGTCACATTATACCAATTTCAAGTCACTACTAAACTGCCTGGGCTAGGCTCAACTTCCTGTCCTTCTGCCTCAGCCTTCCATGGTGCTGGAGTTATAGGTGTGGGTTGTCACTCGCAGCTGGGGACAGCATTTTGGACACAAATGTTTGAAAATGATTCATTTGTATAAATGTGTTTATCTGTGTTCTTTTGTTATCCGAAACAATGTGTATTATCAGTAAAAAACTTACAACTGCATGCTCTCAAATCTTAGAGAGTATTAATATATTAAAAATCCACTGAAAAATTTCAGTTTTGTTTTTGTCTTTGTTCCTGCTATGTTTTTATTTTTTTCTCTTTAAAATAAAATGAAAATTAAAGAAAGAAAAATTTCTGTGAGGTTTGAATTTATTTGTTTAAAATACAAAAATATTTCTGGCTCTTATAAACAATTGACTAAAGTTAGAGGATTATTAGCCAAATCTCAAAAAAATCTTTGAAAAACTGGCCTGAGGGAACTAATTACATTTTTTTTGTTTGATTGATACATAGATATCCTAGTCAGCTATGAAAACCAAGAATTAAAATAATTGAATGAGGACCCAAACCTTCAAGTCATTCTATAATTAAATATTAAATGAGATTTAAAATATGCTGAGGCATATTATGTCACATTGTTTTCACTAAAAATTAT